TCATTGTCTCCAAATACCACGTTTCCCATTAGCAGCACAGCCCCTTCTGTGCTAAGGGGAATGTCATTTGTGTGCTTTGCATGTGTATTATCGTTAGATGGTCTGCAGCCAGAGCAGTACTTACACCTTTGATTGCAGCAAGGGTCAGTTCCTTGGTAAGAGGCACACATAAGATGCATAAATATTGAAGGATGAGGTTTGCAGACTTGCTGGCAGAAAGTGGTTAAGCCTTTTTGTTCTCATGCTTTGCTTTTCAGATGCTTTTGCACTGTAGTTAACCTTATCAGCATTTGATTTAACACTGGATGCTGGAGTATTTATTCCTTTTGGCAGTTTTAGTGCCATGTCACTCACTGACTGTCACAGTTGTATCATATATTAGATGGCTTATCCTAAAAACTTATTTCAGGTATGAAACCACTGCTCATTCTAATATATTTTAGCTGTATATCTGTTGGGGGGCGGGGGGATTTCAGCTGATTTTTAGGTTTGTGTTCCTTTTGAGTCAATGGCTTTTGTGAATTTCTTTCTGCTCACTATCTTCATTTCTGCCTGATACCCATTTTGCATTTACTTTGGCTTTGCAAAAAAACTCTGGTAGTGCCCTTGCTCTTTCATTACAGTTCTCCATGATTAGAGTCTCTGATGGACTCCTGCAGGGCATGGCAGGGCATTTTAATTTGGACTTGGAGGTCAGCGTGGAGTTCTAAGTCACTCATAGCATGGTTCTATCTTGCTCCCACAAAATGGCCTAAAATAGATGTTAATTACAGTTTTCTTTGCTACCCTCTGGTTCTCTTTAATAGAGATCTTAACTCTCCTTATGCTACAATGCCTGTACATTTAACTTAATGGACCACTGGGAGGAGAAATTTATTCCAGGGAACAGAATAGGCCTCCAAGCTGGTTTATACCTGCACATGTAGTCCTCATGTGTGTATCTATGTGCCAAAATAAACCATATGACCATGGATGTATAGGATGAAGTCATGGGAGGAACATCTGTGCTCACTGATGCAAAGCTTCTGTTTGCACAACTGAGCACGAAAAGCATCATGCCATTGTGTATTGCCTCATTTCTACATTGGATGCATATTGTGAATTCTGTTGTGCAAATACAACCTTATTTTGTGCAGTCTAAGACAGTTCAAAGCAAAGTACTTCTGGCTGGACTTGTCATCTTCTATTATTCCCTCTCAAAAATGTCAAGGGCATTTGCACAACACTTTGACAATTCTAGATATTTTTCTTTTTTCTGTCATACTTGTTTCATTAAATCCTTTGTAAAGAGATAGTAGATGCAACTCCTTTTGCAGGGTCAGTTCTCTGTATAGTGCATGGGCTTAGGACATTTTCTAGTCTGCCCCAGCATATCCTGGTGCATGGGGTTATTCCTCTTCAGGTGCAAGACTTTGCATTTCCTTTTGTCACTTTTCAAGAGGTTCATGTGAGCCCATATCTCCAGCCTGTCAAGGTCCCTGTGAATGGTGGCAAAACTATCTGGTGTATCAGCCAATCTTGTTTTTGTATCATCTGTGTATTTGTCAAGGGGAGACAGTGACAGTGGCAAATACAGCTTCACAAAATTCTCATTTACTTTGGTAGCTCAGAGTGAAGGCAGGGTCTTGCCAAGTGGCCTAGGGAGAGAGAGTGTTTGCTGGATGCAGTTTAACTCCATGGTGTAAAGCTTAAAAAAATTTCCTCAACCTCAGGGCTCTTGGATTTCTCTGCTGATGTGGACTATGTGTGACCTTTCTATGTTTTAATTATTCAGGAAGGATGTCCTATGCTAGAGAGTGCCTGCTAATAAAAACTCTGAAACAAATGCTTCAAATGAACTACTTCTCATGCGTTCTTTAGATCCTGTAAGACAAGGAGATCCTAGTTGGAAATCCTTATGAGACTTTAGGAAGCCCTGAGGGACTGCAGGTGTTATCTCCCAGTGCATAAGTAATGCTCAGCACATTTTGAGTTAAAGGAAATGTGATTTTTTTTGGTAAATAAATACAGATTCATGACTATCTTGGATGGACCTTTCTGTTTCTTACTTTTACTAGTCAGGAGGGACCTGCTCTCTTCAGCAGTCTGCGACTTGTTGGCCGCGTGGCTTTGATATGCTCCATGCAGGACAGAATGCCCAGCTCTCCTCCACCTGGTGTTGAATGCTGCTGGTTGAAACTCGCATCTGCTATGGCTAATGCTCACAGTAAGCAGTACTGAAAATGCATTTCCACCTTGTGTTTATTGACCTAGAGGTTCTGGGGAGATCACTTTAAACAATGTGCTTAAACTCTGCAAGCTCTGGTCTGAAAACAGGTGTTGAAAACTGATTGCCAACTTGCTTTGGGGATGTGGACTTAATTGGTTCATTCTGCTAACAATGTTTTTAATAGACTTATCTCTTACAAGTCTCATCAAGTCCTCTTTGCTTTCTCCTGCCAAATAAATATTCCCTAATAATCCCCAAATCTCTTCCTTCATCTTCATTATTTATTTGCTTGTTTAATAAATTTTTTTTTCTCCCAGAAGCCTAAACTGACTTACATGTGGAGCTGCTTCTTGGCTGAACCACACAGCAGTGGCTGTATGGTGTGCTGTGTTTGTCAGTGTTCTCTGAAAAACTGCTGGTACTCCTGAAAATCAGGGCTACACAGTGATGTTCCTGAGGCATGTGGAAGTGCCTTGGAAGAATAGTAATGAAACAGGCCTTGCATTTCTCTGCTGCGCCAGAGAAGGCGCAGGGAAGCTGTTAGTTCTGGGCCTCCTGTGTTGTACTGAGCTTCTCTTCCTCCATCCTTAAAGTTCTCAATGAATTCAGAAAATGCTTGAATCACATTAAGAAAAACCACAAAGATAGGGATCTTCTTGGGTATTTGCAGGACTATGGGCTGGATCCCCTGTAGAACCCCACACTGCAAGTGCCTTCCTACTTGAGAGTAAGACATTAGGAACTAATAACTGATTTCATTTAAACTGTTACCTAAGTACGCTGTGTAATTGCTTCATAAACAATCTGAATAAGCATTTTGAGTGATGTTTTAAAATTCAGTTGATCTAATTTATTTTCCACAAGAGTATCTTTAGAATAGAATAGATTATTTCCGTTGGAAATTTATTTCAGATAAACTTCTGGTCTGTCAGCGTCCTAATGGAGGAATTGCACACACAATCTGCAGCACCTTTCCCAAGGAAAGAAAAGGAAGGAAATGCAGATTAGCAGATTTTGTCCATGTCATTCACTTACAAATAGGTCCCTGCAGAATAATAAAGAGCTTCAGTATCATTGACTGTTTTTTTTTTTTTTTTTTTTAGCTAAATAGTCACAGGCTTCACATAGTGTAAGGTCCCTCTAGCTGGGTACCATTTTAGGAGAGCTCTATATTATATTTCATGTTTCTAGCTGCTGGTTCAAATTTCTAAAGTAGGATTTTTCTGATTACAAGCTAAAGTTTGAATTTCCAGCCCCACTGAATCTCCCTCCAAATCTGCTGACTCCGCCAGGCAGACTGATGTTTTAGTGGATTTGTTAATGTTCAAGCTACATTCTTACCATTCTTTTCTCACAGGAAAATATCTGTAAATAACTCTGTCTAAAATTTCTTACTCTGCTGGGTTTCCTGTCACTCTCAGGAACTTTAGTGCCTTCTTTATTTTGAGTGTTAGTATATCTCCAGGAATAACCAACTGAGGGTATGATGATGGATCAGTGCCATTTGGGTAAAGAAGCATATGTTGAAATGTGCTTTTCCTACCTTGTTTTAAAGGTACATAGTATCACTTTATCCTTGCATGTATTAAGGGAGATTTTCATTTCTAGTTTTAATCTCAAAGTAGGATTATTGTAACCCTAGTTTCTTCCTTTGTTGAGTCATTGGTTCTATTAAGGTTTAGTGATTGAATCTCACCCAAAAGCCTTCCCTCTCCCCCTCAATTCTAAAGTTTTCAACCTCAAAAGTCAGTATCAAAAATTACATTTATTGTATCAAGAACAAGGAGTCCAGTTTAACTAGGAAAAAAATTGCAAAGCTGTTGCTGAGTATAAAAGCTAGTTGTAACCTTGAAATTGAATTTAAAGTTTTCTTCCCCTTCAAGATAGTTACACAAATTTATTTAGTATCATTTCTAGTCTTTTTTCTCATCCCCCAAACCACTCTTTGTAGTTTCTTTTGATTCAGCATAGATGCACTAATGAACTCTATCAATAGAGCTATGTTTAGGCCAACATATTTGAATTTTAACACTCACAAAATAAAGACTTGAATATATTTTCCTTTTTTAATATTAAAAGATTTTGTAACAAGATTGTGGGTAGTTGACAGTTTTACAAATCAACCCTAAGCGTGAATTTCAGAACTTTAAAGCAGTCAAATTTCTAAAGTTAGTCAGTATCCTCTGTTTGGACCACTGCCAATCCTTGTTGCACTTGGGAGGTGAGGTTGCTATGTTTTTCTGAAGCGTTCTTTTGACACTTTCTCTCAAAAAGCCCCAAATCATCTATTTGTTATCCAGTTTCAAGAACTCGATAGACCATAGAGAACTGCTAGGTAGTTCACGTTCATCAGGGTCATTATGTTGAATACCTGCTGTCTTTTTGTGACTTTTCAATCCTTCTAAGGACTGCTGTGGGAGTCAGTCAGCAAACTGGTGAGTACCTTCCACTGCACTGTGCTGGAGTGATGACAAAATGGCTTAAACAGGATTAAACAAGGCCTTGGTTTGAGAGATTTCTGATGCTCCAGGTTTTAGCTGCAGTGTGGCAGGGTTGTGGCTTGTGTCAGGAGTGTGGTTGGAGCAGGAGTGTAGGAAACTGTGCATTATCTGAGTGTAGGAAGCTGTGCATTATCTGTGCTCAGAGCATGTGAGGAGTTTCCTCTTTGCTCACAGCTGGGTGCCTGAGCTGGATGTAAGCTTTTCCATGTTCCTCAGCTCTTAAGAGTGGAACTTTCTGCATTGAAAGTGTGGGGTACCTGAAGCTGATGGAAGCCCTGAGCATGGAAAGCCACGGTCTCCTTACAAACACCACCTTGGGAATTGCAGGATCTTTGGGTTTTCTGGTCTCAGTAGACAAGCCTGAAGGTTAGTCAGCTATATGTGGAGGGGAATTGTTGTAATTGTACACTCTCCTGTAGCAGGTAGGCAATTATGTGCAAGAATGACACAGTAATAAGAGCTACAAGCACGAACTGTTTTAAGGTAAAATCTTTTTGCTCTGGTTGGCTGGCAGTTTGGACTTAATTGGAACTTAATTTGTTATTCTGATAATTTATATTGAATATAAAGGCATTGTGCTGGCTGATAGGAGTATATTAAACGTAGCAAATCTTCTGCTGGGTAGTCTATAATACAAGGCATTTTCAAGAGCTGGCAGGCTTTGTACAGGCCAAATTATCATGCAAAACGTCTGAGAGCATATGATTTATGACAAAGGTGCTGTAAGATTGCATAAATTTAAGACTTTTATTCTCAACTGTTGCATTCATACACTAAAATAATTATAGGGTGCTGACGATGCAGCACCATTTAAGAAAATGAATGACTTAATTTTACTTAAGTCTATTGTTAAAGATAAAACTATGCAACTGTGTTAGAAAAGAAAAGAAAAACCCTGCACAAGATGATGAAGTGCTGTCAAGTCATAGATCATAACACTGCAACTGGGAGTAGCTCTCTGTGGAGGAATTGTATAGGTTTTACATCCTTTATTTTAAAGTGTCCTTACATGATCAAACAGTCTGTTAAAATCAAACAAATTTTAAAATTTGGTGAGACCTCTGTTGCTGTTAACCTTTCTTATTGACTGTCTAAGAGCATGGACAGCAGTTGGATCTGAACTGACTCACTGCTAAACCTGCTATAATTATTTATAATCATTGTCTATGAGTGGGGGTGGGTATATCATTATTTCTGGTACAAAGATACTCAGAAGTAGAAAATTACTAGGTCTTGTGTGTACACATAGTACCACAGTGGTACCACCTGATGGTTGGCACTTGGGTGTGAGAGCCTACAGCATCAAGCTGAACCCAAGGCTGTCTGCTTGACCATGTCCTATTTGGAAACCAGGTTCCTGTGTGTGTGTGGGCATCATTTGTGCTGTAGGAATCCAGACTGTCTTCTGGTTGATGTAGGAGAACTTGTCTGTCCACCGAGGCATGGGGTTTGTGAGGCCTGCAGGGAAGGAAAGAACTTGACAGGCTCTTGGCACAGAAACAGTCACTTCTCTTGTCCTCACCCTTACAAATAGGTTGGCTTTTCCAGAAAAGTACTTGGCTTTCCTTATGTGACAGACCAGATGAAAAATATGAGTAAACTATGAAAAAGACTTAAAACAAAAGTATAAAAAATTCCCCACCAAGTTACATCTGCTGTTAAGAACAGGCTGAAGAAGTAACTGAACCAAAGAGCTTGGACAGGCAGTGGCAGGACAAAGAAATGATGCTGAGAGATGGCCCATGTCAAGCCCAAATGGGACAAACTGAGAAGTAGCAGCCATCACTCAGCAGTTCTTCCCTGTGCAGTGCTGTGGCTCGTTAGATCCTAATCCTCATTAGGTCCCTATTAGTAGCCTACAGCTGTGTGGCACTTTGATAGGAGGCTGGGTTTGGTGTCCCACGTGGAAGCAATGGAGCTGGAGAAGAGGAAGAGTAGGGAAGGATGGATGGTACAGATGTTTTATTGTACCATTTCTTGACCCCCTGTATAACTTCCTTACATAAGGACCCTGAGAGCAAATTCAGTGTTGACAAGAAAAGTCACAAGCAGTTGCCCCTTCAGCTGCTTCTCAATCACCATCAACAGTGAAATGGGAAATCGGTAAAAGTGCAGTGGGAGAGGAATTATAGATAAATAGCTGATGCTATTTGCTAGCAGGTCTTTCCAGGTCAGCATGACACTGACAATCCATATCCCAGTTGTGCTAAAAATTTTTGATAAGAGCTCAGACATTTAATATTTGAGGTCACCTTTGTAGTAAGTTGTGATAGGTGTATCTTAACAATTTTTTTTTGCTTCATATCAATCCTCTGGTTTTATTTATCATATTTCTAATTCTAAGCGCTCTATATTTTCTTCTTTTATTTTTTTTTAAATAAACCTAAAGTATTTATCTACCAGAACAGAGTGGTGTTGATATAAACTGATACATTGATGCTCTGTTTTCCCAGCCTTCCAGAAAATTGCTGGTCAGCAATACCTACCATGAAATACGTGGTCTTCAGGTAATATAAGTGAGGTGTGTGGACTTACAGGCTTTTGTGGAACTGTGCTGGATTTTTCTAAGAAAAATTTAATTGCAACTCTGATAAAACAAGGGAAAGAACTGCAAAAATCTTGGCAGTTGCAAGAGAGTGACCTGTAGTAAAGAAGGAAGAATGAGCAGCTTCACTTTTTTTTTTCTCTCATTTGTGCTGCTTAAAGAAAACTTGGAAGATTATGTCCGTGTTTTTACCACTTACAACAATAAAAAACTCAGATCTGGCTAAACATCAAATATGTTTTCAGTAATTGGAGAGTAGTGGACATCACAGCTTTCAGATTGATTTTGAAATAAATTATTACTTGAAGATCCATAGATTTTTTTAAAATGTAATTCAAGTGCTTTCTGAATTCATTGAGAATTTTTAAGGATGGAAGAACCACAAGTCCACAGCAGAATTGCCTATTTTCAGAATACACTGAAAAGCAAACTTTATCATTCCGTTATATTAAGCATATCTAAAAGTCCAAAACCTTGAGAAAAATGCCTTTTTTTTTGTAGTGTGGTTTTAAATTCCCAATTTTATGATAAGTTAAATAACGTGGAACGTATCCGGATTAATCTTTTTCCCCCCATCATTAATTTAGTTGTTATTCTCTGAGGAAAAATAGATTTGGTGTTAGCTTTGGTGTTAGTTTTGGCTGGGAGAGTGGGAAATAGGAAAATGGTTTTACTGCTTCTCATCTTATAATGAATGGTCCACTGATTAAGAATTTCAATTTCCATGTGTTTTGCATTATGTTAAAACCTCAAAAACTACTTATTAGCTGGTGTAATATTTAATTTAGGATTATGTAAAATCGGACGTGGTTTGAAATCTGGAAATGAGTTAAAACTGTAAAAATTTGTTATATGGTTATATAAGGCTACATTAATTGTGCTGGAGGCTTAAAGAATAATGTTTGTAAAAACATGCTTTGCATTTAAAATTAGCATTAGGGCATAGAATCTATTATATATTGAAGTTTATTTGTTAGTCACTGTGTTGAAGTGTAAAAATGGAACTTATCACTGTGTTTCAAGGTTTGGGGTATTTATAGTTAGGAAGAAACCGAGCTAGTTTTTTGTGGTTTTGTTGGGTTTTTTTTTTTTGTAGTCTACAACTTCATGTGAGGTTGTGTTGGGGTTCAGCCCCAACCATCAACTAAGTCCCACGCAGCAGCTTCCTCCCCATGGGATGGTGAAGCAAATGGGCAGTGTAAAAGACAGAAAACTCATGGGTTGAGTTAAAGACACTTTAATAGGGAAAGCAAAATCTGAGCACTCAAGCAAAGCAAAACAAGGAATCATTCACCACTCCCATGGGCAGGCAGGTCTTCAGCCATTCCCAGGACAATGAGGCTCCATCACAGGTAACGGTGACCTGGGAAGACAAATGTCATCACTCTGAATGTTCCCCTCTCCTTTCTTCTTCCCCAAGCTCTATATACTAAGCAGGACACCATATGGTCTGGGAAATTCCTGGGTCAGTTGGGGTCAGCTCTCCTGGCTGCGATCCCCCCAACTTCTCGTGCTCCCACAGCCTCCTTGCTGGTGGAATGGGATGAGGAGCAGAGGGAGCTTTAATGCTGTGCAAGCACTGCTTAGCAATTGGAAAAAAAAAACAACAAAAAACTCTGTGTTATCAGCACTGTTTCCAGCACAAATCCCATACCAGCCCCACACCAGCTACTGTGAAGAAAATTAACTGTACCCCAGCCAAAACTAGCACAGGTGGTGATGAAACAGAACTAGTTGTTTAAGCTGCAGTGAGAACAGTAGCTTCTCAGAAAATCCTGCTGCTGTCAAAGGTGATATCACCCAGTTCTATTCTACACTATATTTAACAGCAAGCCTGGAATACTTGAATATGTCTATCTAATTAAAAATATTTTAATAGCATGGCAGTTTTATATCTTAGAAGTTGTCGTACCTTGGAATTTTTAGTAATTTCATTTGAGGTGAAAATATACCTTGAAGTTGCAGATATATCTGGTTGTCTGATTTTCTTAAAGCATTGAGAAAAAAGGCAGTCATTGTTCATAACCAGCATGGCTTCACATGGGGAAAGTCCTGCTTAACCAACTTAACTTCCTTTTATGACAAGGTCACTCACCTAGTTGACCAAAGGAAGCTTTTCTTTTTTGTAATTTTATCAGAGCTTTAGGTGCTGTCTCTCACAGTGGCTTTCTGCATAAACTGTTCATCACACATCTAGAAAAGTTCACAGGACATGGCGCGAGCAAAGGGCTGTTGGGTGGGGCTCAAGGGGTTACAGTAAATGGGGCAACATCAGCCTGGCAGTCAGTCACCAGTACAGTTCCCTATGACTCAGTTTTAGGGCCAGTGCTCTTTAATGTCTTCATAAATTATCTGGACACTGGAATCAAATATACCTTGAAAAAGTTTGCTGGCAAGGAGGAGCCGTGGCACCTTCAAGGGCAGAGAAGCCTACAGAGAGGTCTGGAGAGCTGGACAGTGAGCAACCATATGAAATTTAGCAAGGGAAAGTGCCACATTCTCTGCCTGGGATGGGACAATCCTGGTTGTCTTTCTGGTCACCAATGACAGGATACAATGAAATGAAATGCGATGCAATGCGGTGCAACGCAATGAAGCTACATCAGGGAAGTTCACCTTGGGCATTAGGAACAGGTTCTTCGCTGAGAAGGTGGTCAGTCACAGGAACAGGCTCCTCAGGGAAATGGTCACAGCATCAGACCTGTCAGAATTAAGGAGCATCTGGCCAAAGCTCTTAGTCATAGGGTCCAGTTTTAGGCAGTCCTGTGAGGAGCAGTGTGTTGGACTTGCTGATCCTTATGGGTCCCTTCCAACTTGCGATATTCTGTGATTCTATGATTCATTTTTTTACCTACTATGTGGAAAATTACATGGCTGTTATTTAAAATGCGGCAACCACCTGCCAAGTTGTTCACAGAATTTTAAAGAATTCATTTGC